GCATAAACGGATGGGGGACGGATCGATAAAGGAATTGAATATTTGGCAAGCATTTTAAGCGACTTAACATGCTATAAAATGATGGTCAATAAATACGGTAATAAAATGTGTCTCGATACTAAAAACACAACTATAACACAAAAGGCTCCCCCGGGAAAGGAAAAGGATATTTATATATGCGTGCAGATATGTGGATATAATACATACATGTGCACAATGGACCCGCATCAAAAAAAGGAAGCCATTGAAGCAATCAGGCAGTCGTAGTCCATGACCACAGTTACTGCATTCCGCACCACCACCACCACCACCACCATCATCAGGACTCACCCACTCTAAATTCTCTATTCGATTATGATAAAATGCCTTTAGGTGACCACAGCATGCAAAAGTGGTTGGATTCCGGGAGACACGAAGGATTTTTGAGGAACCCAAAATAATAATCGTGCGCATAAATAAAACATTTTGAAATCAAGTGGTTACCCCTCCGACAAAATTCCTACGCATTCGAAAGGAAACGAAACGAAACAAATAAACAAACCAGTGAGAAACGAGAAAGGACACAACCGTAGATGAGGAAAAAACCGAAATTGAAAGTCAAGACATGAAATATTTATGTATTGTGGGTTTCCTCGAAAGTTTTGTGGGTGCGTTGCCATCTTGCCATGTTTGCTATTTGTGGTTTATATGCCAATAAATAAAAACCTTTGCCCTAGCCCAAAACAACACAACACAACACAACACAACACATTTTAAAGTATGTCCGTTTCGGTGCCCAGCAAACTGTAACCAAAAGGACCCACCAATCAGCCCCGGTCTTCATGGTCACTTTCCACTCTCAACTGCCCAAATGACCCACACTCGGGCAAACAAATTGTTAGTTGTAGAACTTTGCTCTGGCCAAGTCCTCTCTTGATTGAGCCGTTGGTTTTTAGGGGCACTCGTCCAAACGCCCCTCTTACCGACTGTCAGCAAACTATTTGCACTTGGTTTGGGCTATTAAATTGCATAATAAATGTATCTCAAATTCCCGCTCTTGGCTACAGATTATTTTTAAAATTTGTGGTTACCGAGAAGGAGATTTGAATGCGAGAAACTTTTATTTTATATTTTTCAGACAAGTGGACTAGATTGCTTGTTGAGTTTGGAATTGGGAAGTGGAAAACTATTTAATATCTAGGAATTTAGGGGCGAGTGATGTACTAAAGTAAATTGTAATTTTTTGGATGCTCTTTGCATAGGTTGAAAGATCACATTAATATATGGTTTTCGTTCATTCAGCGCCTTTTCATTTAAAATTAAGTTTATCACATAATTTTCAAAGGAGCTACCATGCAAGCGCCTTAGAATGAAAATGCATCATATGTCCATCTCATTAATTCCTTGCCTAAGTGCAAACATTCCTTGTTAGCCAACCAAGGTTTTGCACGGCAAGAAAAAATAGCTGCATAATGTTCATAGAAATCTCCTTGGCACGAGGAGCCTCCAAGAACTTAATCAGAAGCTGTTGACATAGCCAGGTCTATTCAACCAGCCCAGACTCTTGGCTCCCATGACACTGGCTTTCTTCTTTAAAAAGGAATCCCTGGCCTCGGGCAAATATGCTGAGAACAGAATTGCTGCTCAGGCTCTTCGGGATCGAGAGGCAAGTTATTTAATTTGGTATAAAACAGTGCAATATATATTATGTTTATTCATGGCCCATATAACGTAGCCAGCCATACTCATCCTCGACCTCTCGTCCCCATCACTCTAAGCTGGCCATTCTGTTGGCCTGGCCCGAAGGAAATGAAAAAGTTTTAGGCCCATCTGCTGCTTTCTTGGCCTCCTCATTCAATTGCCACCGGCGTCTCTGGCTTTTGTGCTCCTCCGCAGCTCCTTCGATGGTGCCCCCGAAACCCTGGGGTCTTTGAGTTTTCACTTAGGCTTTTTGCATAATCAAGATAAACGATAAGTAAATTTATCTTTATTAACAAATCTTTAACGTGGCCGAGTAATTTATTTGCGGTTGGCCTCCGTCAGACGAAATTTTCACCAGCGGCCCTTTTCTTATTTGACTGACATTTGAAATTGAGTTTCGGTCTGCCGCTTGTATAAGGCCAGGAAGTCGGATTTCTTTGTCTGTAATTATAGTTTATATCGCAACTATGTGCACTTTGAATATAATTGAATATGATCTAAACAATTATTTATCACTTTGTAAAAAATCTCATAAAAAATCATTTAAGAGCATTAGGCATAGAATATTGAATTAGATTACTATTGTATAAAAGAACACTTAAATTTAGCCATAAACTTTTCGTTTGAAGTTCATTTTTACTGCTTTGTTAAGGTGTTTGCAACGCAGGTGAAAATATTTTCCATGAAACTGTGAATGTATTATTTTTTATTGACGCGCTCATAGAATACAGCCAATGCGACTTTCTTGAATAAAAGTTGTTTTCCTTATTCCTTGGCATTTGGTGGAAACTGCTCCGGTGCAAACACGTTTCGCGGAAACAATCATGCTTGCAATAGTTTCCTGCCTGATTGTAAAGCGATTATCTGCCCTGTAGGTATGGCTTAAATATGTGCATGTGTGTGTGTGTGTGTCCGGCTGAAGTCCTTACTGAGGGCAGACGGACTTCTTCATCGTGGACCTGGAAGCGAGCTGCAGTTGCCTGCCATGGCATAAAGGATGTGCAGCCGGCACACATGACTTCCGTCTGATGGAAAATAAAGAAAACGAATTGAGTGCAGGACAACGGCAGCGTGGTGGGCAAAAATGGAGCCGGAATGTGGAGAGGGGCATCCTAGAATGCCACTGATTAAACTCAGTCGGGGCAAGAAGCTCAAAGAAGCAGAAAAAAACCAAAAAAATGAGGAAACACGGTAAGCGACTAAAATAGCTTTGGTATTGGTTTACTTTGCCTGCACCTATAAAGTAAATAAGGAATTCGAGATGCAGCTTGCTCTGAAAGGAGCTAAAGCTCCTGCTAAAGTACCCGTCGCCGGGTCCGGAGTACTAGCATCTAAAAAGGCATTAAAGGATTACGTTGTTTGGAATTTACTATAATGGGGACATTGGAAAACTGCTATCTAAATTCCTTCCTGCCTGCCGAGCTGAATTTATAAGGTATCGATCCAAAAAGGGAAATTAAGTTATTTAGTGCATTATTTTATGCAATTTATTTGATTCTCAGCGCCAATTAAGACTTCCTAGGATTTAATCCAGATTACTTATAAAAAACGGATTTTCGGATTGCTTGCTCCACCAACCATCTTCAGAGTTGCCTGTTAATCTCTTCGAAAATTTAACAATCAAACAATTTCCACACTTTAATTGTTTATACCCATCCACTTATCTGTGGCCCCACCAGCACCATCATCATCACCACCTCCACTTCATCGCACGGCAATCAGACAAATAAAACTTCGATTAATTGAATATCAGAAAGTAAAATGCACACGATTCCGGCCAAACAATTTCGCCTGCCTGCGACTTGCGGACGAGTGAGTCGTGAACATAATAGCCCGTTGGAATTCGTCATTCAGGACATGACTTTGCCAGCAATCCGCCCCAGACAGTGTATACAGTGATAAGACCCTCGGGGGCGGTGGGGGCGTGTCTCCGACAAGGCAGGAAACAAGCGAATCAAGCCATATAAAAGTTTTTACCACCACAACAAAGATGGATACCGCACAGCGACACTCAGAACTACATTTATGACAAAATTTGTTCGCTTGCCATAACGCGGAGCTTTTTCTTATCACTAAAATTTGTTGCTATATAAAAAAACCCAAGAAATAGCCATTGTAAGAATGTTAGCATTTTGTTAGCTTTTTGTAAATCTTTAAAAATTACAAAATATACAATTTTAGCTTTACTGATATGTATATTTTCGTGGAAGTATTTAAGTGTTATAGGTTTATGTCAAATTTTTCTTGAGTGCAGAGACAATGTGTGTGTGAGTGGCTGTGCAGCATGTGGGCCACTTTTATTTGGCCGCAGCTAATTGTTTTTCGTTACGCTACGCATACCAATGCATTTAGCCATCGACCAGGACCATAACTTTCGAGTGTTTTATGGCCTCACGCACGGCAGGAGCAGGACAATATCTTGGCCCCACACACATCCTTGCCTTACCCCATCGCACACACATGCGTCGTAAAATAAACCGTACACCGGAAGCCCAGTACTTGGAAATTTATTAATGCCACGGTCGCCAAACGATAACTGCAATTTCAGTTCCACTTTCAGTTACCATTTCCAATCAAAGCTCAATCTGTCAGAAGCTTAAAATCTCATTTAAGGCTTCTCGAGGTTCATTGCCGATTTAATTGGCTTCCAGCAGATCCAATGAGAGGGCGAAAGCAAAACACGATTTAATTAATCTAAAAGTAGAAAAGCAAGTGCTAGTGGAAGAAGCCAGAAGGAAATGTAGCCATCTGCTTTTTGGCTCCTCGAAGTAATCTAGAAACAATAGATGACATAATTCACATGTCTTTGTTGAGCCATTGTCCATTACTGGTTGCCGCATGCCTCGTTTACTCCGGCTTCACTGCCATTCTTTTTGCCTTCCTTTGTCCGGAATTTTTGTTCCGCTTTTCCCCAGTTTTCCCGCTTTTCCGCCCCTTTGCAACGCCCATGTGGGCGGGACAAAAATGTTTGTGAAATGAGCCGTAATAAGCTGAAAATGCCTTATGGTTTCGGTTGTTGCCTCCTGGTGAGGATGAGAAATTTGCTTTGTGTGGCTTATTTTGAGGTTAACGGAAATTAACTTTATCAACTTGAGTAGTAAATTACGGTACTTGGATATATAAATTGCCATTTTTATAAAGAATTTAAAAGGAGACTACTTCAATCAGCAAAACTCCTTTTAATTCAATTTTTAAGATTTACGCATGCATGCTAACCCGTATTATAAAAAGAGCCAAAGCCACAATATAAAATATATTAAAACATAATTAAATTTCTCTTTGAAAAAATATATATGTATTTAGAATATTTGTAAAACAGTTATGGTTACTACCACTATGACGAACTATTGGCTGTTGTTGAAAAATATCTGAATATCTGTAATCGGTTGACATTGCTGAATTACGCGTTCTATTCTGAGGTAGGACAGCTTAAAGCACCAGTAGCTTGAGTACTGTGAAAGAAAATACAGAAATAAGTATAAAGTATAAGTATAAGTACAAGTAAATATACGTACCATCGACTGATAGGCCTCCCTGAGTTCCGACCACTGATTGAGGATCACAGTAATGGGATAGCTGAGATTTTCTTTCTTCCGGATGCGGTAAATGCCTTGAAGGACCTTCCAGCTCAGCTGTGGACAGTCGATCAAGTAGATATCGTGGAGACCGGCACACTTTCGCACAATATCCAGCAACTGGTAGTCCTTGATGTCATGGCAGTTGGTTAGAGCAATGTATTTCTGAACTTTTGGAAACGAGAGCCGACTGATCTCGAGGTCGCAGAAAGAGCAGCTGGCGAGTACCAATCCCCGTAATCGAGAGCACCGATCCAGACCCACCTCCATCATCCAGTTGGGGTCCCGAAAGCCTTTGCAATCTATTTGAATTAGTTCCACAGAGTCTTTCCGTTGGCTTAGTGTAAATTTCAGGCTCTCCAATGTCAGCTCATTTCTCTTTTGGCATTGTGTCAACTCAAGCAAGCGAAGATCAGTCAGTTTCATGACAAGGTCCTTTTGGTTGGCAAACAGGCCTGTGGTCAATGAAAGGTCTCTCAGATTGGAACACTTATCAATGCATTTCAAGCTCAAGGTATCGCAATCGAATCGCAGGAATAGTCTGGCCAATTTGTGGCACCGCTCAAAGATTCCCGTGAGAGCAGTCTGCGAAATGAAGCCATAAAGTACTAGCAACTCCAGATCCTGGAAGTGTTCGATGAAGTGCACCTGGATTTCGCAGTTGGCCTTCAGGCGTCGCAAATTTCTCATTAGCTTGGGCAGAGCATGCAGTGGCCACTGGGCCATTCTATTTGCAGCGGAATCTCCGCCAGCTGGGTGACTAATGGCCTTAACTTTCGTTGAATTCTCTTCCATCAGCAATTCGCAGCGTTGCACAGAGACTAGTGACTTCACACCTGCGCTTTCTATAACATTAAGGTTCTCCTAGGTAATAGGAAATTACAGAATGAAGTATTCCCTTTCCTATATTTATCTTAATCAAGCATAATACTTTTGGATTACTGTGTTTCTACTTGTTTGCTCGCGAATGTACCCACCTGCAGTTTATCTGCGACGAAGTAAACGTACTTGAAATGATCCACCATGTGGACAAGAAGATGTCTCTGCGACATCTCGCCGAGATCCTGGTGAAGAGTGCGGAAGTCGAGCCGTTTCCTGGTAATCCGCCAAAGAGTGTAGCAGGCGGCGGGCAGGAGGTGAAAGGAGCGATAGAGGACGATCTGGTCGGACAAGCCCAGTTTTTGAAAAACCTTGTTCAGCTCGCCGTAGTCCACTTTCTTGTCTTCATTTTCAGGTTTGGCTAGGGGAATGGGTCTATCAGATGAAAAGCTATTCGATGGGCTTTCTAAAGTGGAAGTGAAGTCGCCTCCAATTTGGGCGACTTGATGAACTTGACGGCTTTTTAGAGCAGTTTTCATCTCGCGCGCCGAACAGTCGCCCACTTGGAACTTCAAAAGACGCTGTTTCCCCTCCCGATTCTTCAGTAATCTAGGACTAAGGGTCCACATGGCTGTGGGCTAAACCTATGCGCTATTTGTATAAAAAAGGATAATAGAAAATAAAGGCCCTTTCTAATTTGCCTACAGTGTACTGGTTTCTATCAATCGAAATTTAGTTGAATTCTAGGTCATAGTCTCCCATTTTTAAATTTTATATGTTAATAAAGTAATACCTTTTGGCTTCTGGTACATTGGCGCTCTGCTTTTGCACTGGAGTAGCCAGACGAAGACTTTCCTTTAATTGGTTATTATACATATTTAAACAAAAACTTACCAATTAAACTTTCTTTTGGCAGCGCTTAATTGTTGGCGTAAAAACTTTATTGAAGTGTTAATTGTGCAAATTATGCTGCAAAAGGGGACTGCCAAACACGCACACATACACACCGAAACAGAAACAGAAACAGGAGCAGACCCACCATGTTTGCCGCAACAAGCCCTAAACAAAGGGAAAAATAATAACAAAATGCAGAACAACCCAACAACAAGGACATCGCAATCCTGGCAACAGTAAAAACCACATGCCAACACTTAGTGCCCAGCACGTGGAACGGAGGCTGCCGTCCAGGATCTGGCTCATATTATGCTTAATTATAAGCGTATATATGCAAGAACAACACTGCGGCTAGCAGCTGACCTCGCTTAGCTCATATTACACGCCAGTCTAGTCCAAGCTGGCCCAAAAACACAAAAAAAAATAAGAAACAAAACGAAAATGAAACACGCAAAACATACAAACACGTTGGGGCTTTCGGCCCTGTATTATGTAACTGCATTGACCAAAAGTTTGGCGCACCGAAAACTTTCCGCTTGCCTTGCAGCTTTGTGTCAAAGCGAAAGGCGCCAGCAGCAGGACCAACTCAGGAGCAGGACTTCTGCCATGTCTTTCGACGCAGTTGCACAAAGTTTTGTGGCTCGGTTACGGAACGGCTTCCTTTGGCTTCTTATCTGCGTGAAAACACGGCCACCAAGCAAACACCAAAATGCTATTAATGCTTGCTTGTCGATTACTTGCAGGACACACTACATTTTACAGATATCTAACCGGGAACTGCGATCCCTACAATCTATTGCATAGGTTTTATGTAGTTATACAATTACATACATTACAATGATATGTAAAATTATAATATATATTCCCGGAATACTTTTCATGTTATTACTGTTTTGAAATGTTGCGATTAAGATCTTTCCTAACATGGGTTTACATAAATATACCTATTTAAACGCGAATTCTTTAGGCATGCGATAAAATGAATTCAGATCAATTCATTACTTTATGCTTTCAGTAAGGACCATTTCGACACCATTAAAGTTCATTACCGGAAGATTTCCCGCATTGTCTGCGCTGCAATTTGGTTGCAGCATGCAAATATATCAAAACTTAAGGCTGTCTATGCTGTAGTTGAATCGTCGCCAGGACGCCAGACTGCGGAGTCGACTCCTCGAGACGGCATGCCGATGCTGAAGATTTATTATTTATCAGTGCAGATTGTGCAACTACTTTGTTGCTCCTTCCCCGTCTCAATTTTTCGCATCCTCGAGCCCAGTCATGTGTGCAGCATAAGATTTAAGATTCCTCAGACACACACGCAAGTCCTGCAGGCAGTGCTTATATCCTTTGGGCTGGCAGGCTATATGCATTGTCTTGTAACTGAAAATGCAGATTGTTTACTGATGTTAGATGCTATTTTCAATGGCTTCTTGCAGTGCCTCGAATTTCCAATGAGAATTGCCTCGATGTTTGTCGGTTAGAGGACGAGCTGATGGATGAGTCAAGGTAACTAAGTAAATAGATGAAAAAGTTTGCAGTTCATCGACTAGCAAATCGAACGAACAGCTCTCCCATGTATTCCACTGTATTATTTTAGTATCCTGCAATAAGCCCAACTGGAATGAAAACAAAGGATCTTTGTTCGGCCTTTCTAAACAATTCAATTACGGCTATCAACAACAAATAAACAAGCAACATGGTAGTGAGAAAAAGTTTCCGAAAGCGGCGGGGGAAAACTAAATGAAATGAAAATGAAAACTAGACACGCAGACGGAAAACTGAGAATTATCTGGGCATTCCGTGCAAACGAAGGCAGAAAATTCATTTTTTGCCGCAGTCAGCTGACGCTATCTGCTGCCTCCTTGCCCCGCAAGAACCCCGATTCCAGTACTTCCTTCGCTGCATTTAACTAATTGCGTTAATTAATTAGGACTAACAACCCGAGTTTGGGCAAAAGTCTGTACAAGCCATCCAACTGCTGCAAGGATAACACAACTGCGGAAACCACAAGACCTCTGGGCACGCAAAGAACGCCTATATGGAGGTCCTGAGCTCTGGCCATGGATATGTGCTAAGCGCAGGGGATTACCAAATTGATATATAAAGTTCATGTTTTGGGTTCTTATGCATTATGCTGTTAATGGCTTTTCATGGCTTCCGACACGAGTTTTGCCTTCATGTCTGCCAGAGGTTGGCAAAATAATAATTATGGCTATGCTAAATAATAAAGAATGCACCATGCTGCTATATTATTTTTAAGTAGCATGATTGTCAGGTAGAAGTAGGTCTTCTGCACTGTATTTCTCTTACTCGAATGCCACTGCCAATTGCTGTAAAAATGATTCAAATGGTGCAAAAAATGCATTAAATTAATTTTAATTAACAGAAATAGGTTTTAATTAAAAGCCAGACTGCAGTCTAAGTAGAGCAAAAGACGAAATCAGACATCGAAATACAAGTATGTCAGCGATATTTAAGCGAGCCGAAATGACTGGCTTGGTGACTTCATTAATTAATGAACTTTTCGTGGGTATCGCGTCGTTCCCTCTTCTGCTTGACACCCTTTACCCAGTTAAAAAGCAGTTTCTTTCACTTTGGCCATGCATGAAAAACCCGCAACTTGTTTACTCAATGCCGGCTTTTTCACTTCAACACTTGGGTGAATTGGTGGCCCCCCGGTGGAATAGACTCAACCCTTTTGACTCGAAATTTTTGCATAACAAAGCGGCAAACAGATGGAGGGAAAGTGCCGGCGTGGCATTGCAATTTATTTAATAAAAAACGCAATGTCGACGACCCAAGCAATTGAAACTTTTTCAACCGCAAAATACTAAACCATACTTCTAGGCAATAACGTAATTCAAATGCCCCGTAGACGACGACACCAACAAACTTTGCACATTTTTGTGCCACCCATTCCTACTAAAAAAAACAAAAAGGTGGCTCCATGAGGCAAACTCCACTCACAAGCAGAGGAAAAGTTTTCCAAAAATGGCGTAAATTGTCGGATCCCCCAAAAACAGAACCCTTTGCCATCCACCCATGCTAACTCTTTTTTTTGTTTTTGGTTTTTGTAAATAGTGAGGAACCACGGGTGACCAAGTGGGAAAGTCAAAGCCTTGCGCGGCATTTACTAAAATATTCATGGCCTGGTGAGTCGACACCCCATCGGTGGGAAGGGGGTGGTGGGTGGTGTCCAGTGGGCGGCTGAGTGGGCGGAGGGGGAAGGTCGAACTGCCAACTGGCCTTTGTACTTGAATTGGTTCCGTTGCCCTTCTGCAGTTTTTGCTCTTTTTGTTTATGACACGAATGAGCGAAGTTTTTGATATTTGTTGATTGCTTTTTCGGCTCTGATTGTGGGCGTTGCAGTGGCATGCTGATGAAGTGGGCGTGGTCAGCTGGGGCGCAACAGATCTATTTGCATTTTGATTCCGTTCTGTTGAGGGTCTCAGTATGAATAATTGTTTAATTGTCTTGCTGATGAGTTGAAGACAAAGCGCTTAAAATGGAGAAATAACTTTTATTTATTTATATTTACTTAATATCACATATCTGCATGTTAAACCTTTTAATTGTTATATACAGTAATGCATTCAGAATTAATTATTGCCAGGATTCAGGGACTCATTTCAGTACAAATAATATGATCACCTTAAAGTGTCAATTCAAAACCTTTCTATTTGGTGATTATATAAATTTATTCCCTAGTTCGCTGATCTAGAAAAACCCTTTACATTTTCCTCACCATTAGCGAAAATTTCCATTCAATCAAAACACTTTTGTTTTGTATTTGTTTCTCCAAAATAAATAAACGAAGACATTTGCAAATGTTTTCATTGCAAGCTGCGATGGTGCTGAACCACTGATTTCCTTTAGTGGGAAACTCTTTGTGTATCTTGGATATGCATAATAGAAAAGCGTGTGTGCTTAAAATCATGGTGGATACAAAGTAGGCACTTTGGTTGAGCTTTACATTTATACAATTGTGTAGCTGGGACTTCAGTTTTAAGTTTTACTTTATCTGATAACTGAACTAGGGTAATATATTAGAAATGCCAGTTTTGACCAGTATTTAAGTTCGTTTCGGCACACTCATACATATTTTTATTTATAATACACACATCTGTTAGATTTCCAATCCGACGATGAGCTTAAGTAATTTTTTACTCCTTTACTTATGCTCGTACACTCGTAGATGAGTGGTGGCCTCGAAAGCAGTTTGTCCAACGCATTGCCGTAAACTTGCCTTCTAGAATTTTGTAATAGCCCCGATAACAATGGCTTGGCACATCAACAGGACTGGTACCGAGGAGCACTCCTTGAGTGACGGCATGCCAAGGAGACTGAGGAGGGAGGGGAAAGGGGGAAGGGGGGCTGGCGTGACACCGAGATGGCCAAGGATAGCTGGCAGGTTGAATTAACCCCGTTCCCCGGTTGAAGTCACTGGCAGGACACTTGACTGGCGGTTGGTGGAAGTTGAGGTTGCCTGCCTGGCTGCTGTGCAATTGGTTTTGTGGGCCATAAGGACTCCCCCCCACCCCTTCAAGGCCATAACAACAAATGGCCAAGCAAAATGGATGTCGAAAGCAGATACTTCAGTTGCTCCTGTTGGACGTCATTTGCATTTATCCATCCGTTCATCCACCGGACCAATTTCAAATGCTGCTATTTGTGGTGAAAATTTGATCGATGATTATTATTTATATAAACCGATTAGTGTCTTGCGTGTATTTATAAATATCTGGCTATATACCACCAATATAAATTGATTGACACGAACATAAAAAATAAATGCGAGCCGGAAATGAGCAAAAAAAGATGG